ACACATGCAACAACAGAAGCTGTATCTTAGTGAACGAATAATAATTGCTCATTGCTAGGCAACAGCAAGTGCACCAATGAAGTCGTTGGCTAGGAATCAGGCGACTTGTTTTCTGTAGGTCGACATCAAAGGTTTATAGGGGACAACAAAGGTCGTTTGCAGTAACTCATAAGCTGGAAGAGCAAATTTGAAGTAGGAGGGTTCAGCAGTTGAGAGTACAAGGACAAGAATAGAGCGTGAATTGTGAAGAGTGCAGGTTAGGACAGAGGTGAACTGTAAATTGTGTAAATCATTTAAGTGTATTTAAGTGTAATTAAGAGAGACTGTAACCAAAGTGCTAATAAATCCAAACGACAACCTGTCATTTTGCAATACATACCACCCTATACATGACAATATATGAGTTGTCATCCATTTCCTTCACTTTCACTCTGCCCTGAAATGCTACATATGTTTTTAACCACTTTTCTGCAAAAAGCCATAATCCAGAAGGAGCCAGAACAAACATTCCGTAATGCCCTAACACTATCTGACTCCATGGAGCCTTCTTGAGAAGCTGCCAGTTGCACAGCACAGAATTTCCCAATATTTTATTAAACCTGAAGGCTCATTATCGTATTCACAAGAGCCCTCCACTGGTCTTTTTCCTGAGTCAGAGCAATCCAATCCATGCCACCCCACCCTATCTCTAAGACCCATCTTAATAATATCCTCCCACTTATGTACATGTATATGTGCCTTCCTACAGATGTCTTTCTTTCTTGCTTTCTCACGAAAATCCTATATGCAGTCTTCATCTACCCTATGCGTGCTACATGCACTGTCCATCTCTTCCTCCTCGACTTGATCATTCTAATTATACTTGGCAAATAGAACAAGTTATGAAGCTCCTCATTATGCAGCTTTCTCCAACTTCCTATCACTTCATCTCTCTATGGTTCAACTCTCCTCACCACCCTGTTCTCAAACACCCTCAGTCNACAGCAAGTGCACCAATGAAGTCGTTGGCTAGGAATCAGGCGACTTGTTTTCTGTAGGTCGACATCAAAGGTTTATAGGGGACAACAAAGGTCGTTTGCAGTAACTCATAAGCTGGAAGAGCAAATTTGAAGTAGGAGGGTTCAGCAGTTGAGAGTACAAGGACAAGAATAGAGCGTGAATTGTGAAGAGTGCAGGTTAGGACAGAGGTGAACTGTAAATTGTGTAAATCATTTAAGTGTATTTAAGTGTAATTAAGAGAGACTGTAACCAAAGTGCTAATAAATCCAAACGACAACCTGTCATTTTGCAATACATACCACCCTATACATGACAATATATGAGTTGTCATCCATTTCCTTCACTTTCACTCTGCCCTGAAATGCTACATATGTTTTTAACCACTTTTCTGCAAAAAGCCATAATCCAGAAGGAGCCAGAACAAACATTCCGTAATGCCCTAAGACTATCTGACTTCATGGAGCCTTCTTGAGAAGCTCCCAGTTGCACAGCACAGAATTTCCCAATATTTTATGAAACCTGAAGGGTCATTATTGTATTCACAAGGGCCCTCCACTGGTCTTTATCCTGAGCCAGATGAATCCAATCCATGCCACCCCATCCTATCTCTAAGACCCATCTTAATAATATCCTCCCACTTATGTACATGTGTATATGTCTTCCTACAGATGTCCTTCTTTCTGGCTTTCCCACGAAAATTCTATATGCAGTCTTCATCTACCCAATGCATGCTACATGCTCTGTCCATCTCATCCTCCTCGATTTGATCATTCTAATGATACTTGGCAAATAGAACAAGTTATGAAGCTCCTCATTATGCAGCTTTCTCCAACTTCATATCATTTCATCTCTCTATGGTTCAATTCTCCTCACCACCCTGTTCTCAAACACCCTCAGTCGTATGTTCCTCCCATAATGTAAAAGACAAAATTTCACACCCATACAGAAAAACAGGCACAATTATACTTTTGTATATTCTAATATTCATGTTTTCAGTCAGCAGATAAGAAGACAAAAGGTTCTGGACTGAATTGTAGGAAATATTAGTCGTAATCAATCTACTCTTTCTTTGTTCCTAAATAAAATTTTGGTTTGTTAATGTCATTCCCACATAATTGGACTGTGATACGTTTTTGAAGGATTTGTTATCTACCTTTGTATTACAATTTTGCCCTGCATTCTGGTGGCAAGACAGCAATATATAATTAGTTTTCTCTGCATTTATTTGTAGACCAACCTTCTTACTAGGGTCAGTTACAGTTTCTGTGTTGTTCTTTATGGTATCTATTCCTAATATGGCAACTTTATAAATTCTTACCTAGTACAATAACTTGGAAGGATCCTTCATCCAGACCAGAGCTGTTCCTTAACATCAGATGATACAGTCCACTATCAGACCTCTTTGCATTCACTGTGTGCACTATTGTGTGGTAACCAATTGAGGTCACTGTTGTCCTTTCATCTGTTTTGAGTGGCTTAGTTGCCACAGACCATATTACTTCTGGTGGAGGTTCACCAATAAAATCAATGTCAACATGGAAAATTTGTCCAGCTTTGATGCGAATATCATTCAGAGGTGTCTTGATCTTTGGGGGTACTGTAAAGAAGATGCCAATGTCATAATTAACCTAGTCATTGTCAAAGATAATTTTTCTTTAGAATATGCAGGAAGTACAGAAATACTTACAGTATCTTGCTTTAGCGGTCACAGTATCAGATGGTTCACTAGGTTCACTCTGGCCAGCTGAATTTGTGGCAATGACTCGAAACTCATATTCCTGGCCCTCTGTGAGGTCTGGTACAGTAGCCTGAATTTTAAATAGAATATCCTGTTAGTTTTAACACAGAGTAAGCATGGCAACAACAGACTTGACTATTTTGGACAGCAAAGTATAATCTACAAAGCACATAAATATGATAAAGTGTATACTGATATCTCCTATTATTTACAATTTGACACAATATGAAAACAGTACTGTTTATCCCATACTGAAATAAATAAGATGTTCTAGGTATCGCCATAACAAATATCAAATATGGAATTTAAATAAAAATATGATTCCTCTTGCTTAAGTCTTTAAAAGAGAAGAAAAATCACTTGCAAGATATCTCTTTCTCAATTACATTTAAGTGACCTGGACACTCACATAAAACTGAATATATCACTGCCATGAGAACTTTGAATCCCTTACTGTATCTACAATGTGCATTATATTTGATTATTTTATGATGCTAGAAACTGTGATTCTCTTCACTTAGTAATTGGCACCACCGAACTAACATAGATTTATAGCAACAGGCACAACTGAACTAAAGGGTGCAAGATGTAGAATGTCACATGCTATGTCAATGAATTATATGCAATTATGTTGTATCTTAAATGTGATGATTTCACATTTTTAACTTACACTGGTTTGCTTTGATGGAACATGTACTGCATTTGCCCAATAAGGACTTCCTTTTTCCTTCTTCTGAATAATGTATCCAGTAATCGGAGAGCCACCATCCGATTTAGGTGCAGGCCATTCTAAGTCTACATGGTCTTTATCCCAGTCCATGATAAGTGGTTTGCCAGGAGGATCTGGTTCATCTAACAAATGAAAGGTATTTGTCACAACAGGACACCTATATGTGCAGAATATTGTAGGTAGTGATTTATATAGAGATCTTTTCTGATTCTGAATTAAGAGCATTTTACTTTGTGTTAATTAAATTTGCAGTTTCAACCATTTAAGTTATGTCATCCTATTAACAACTGAGAAAGTATTTTCAAAATGCAATTTTTGCACACTATGATATTTTTAAAACATCCATGTTAAAAGGAATAATATCATGTGGGGCAAAAGTATTTTACTTAGTATGTGACTTCACATGTTCCTGTGCATACTTATGTGCCCATAAACAAAGATGATGCTGGATGACCTTGGGGACAGAAGAGGATATTTTCATTTGAAGGAGAAAGCTCTAGATCGCATCAAGTGGAGGAACTGTTTTGGAAGAGACTGTGGACCTGTCGTCTTGACAGATTACAGATGAATGATGAATGAATGAATGAATGTACTTGATCATCATACTACAATCTTTGCCTTATAAAGAACAAAATTAACAGAAGATAAAAGTATCCTTTTATTGGATTTGTGATTCTCACGACATTAATTACAAAGGGTAATATATTCTGGGATATGACATCATGTAGCATATAGCAAGTCCTCTGCCTGACTGCTTAGTTTTGAACTCTGAAGACAGAAGCAATATGTTGCTTTGAAAGATTAGTAAACTTCTACCAGACTACATGTTGCCACATCCAAGAAGATAGTATTATTCTCCTTTCATTAGTTACTTTTCTAAAAATAATATGCTACAAATAAATTAAAATTAAAGAACTGTACCCTCTATTTGCAGGTGTGTTAATAAATTTTAAATGTGAATATTCAATATTGTAAAGGATAACTATTGCCAAAAATATCAGAATGTATTATCCGAACCTTTGTAACATTAGAGTATTAGTCCATTTCTATCTATAGAAGAAAACATAATGTTTAACCATACACATGTTTAAGAGAACAGAATGTCTTTTAAGTGGACAAGTGAACAATGACTGTGTTTTAATCTGCTTAATTCTCAGCATCTTGAAAGTTAAACATACCAAATTCATTCTTGGCAATGATGCTCCTTTCTGTCTCAAGAGGGTCAGATTCTCCTATGCTGTTGACAGCCCTCACTCGGAAGAGATACTCCTTCCGATGTACTAGTCTCACCACATCATGAGACAGACCAGAAGACATGCCCGCATCTGACCATGTTCCTCTTGATACATCCATCTTTTCCACAATGTAATGTAGGATTGGACTTCCACCATCATCCAGTGGTACCTTCCATGTAAGGCGAGCACCCTCCTTTGTTATATTACTAACCAACAAAGGACCTTCAGGTGGAGATGGTCGATCTGAGAACATAAACTAACGCTATAACTGGCTATATTTAGATAATTTAGATATATAAAATAACTTAATTTATATATATTTGTAAGAGAAGAAATAGTATAACATTTCACTTGAATGCAATGGTTAATTACAATTCATAAAGCATTAGTGTTATGAAAATTTTTATTGTTACTAATTACATATCCTTTTGCAGTTACTTTTTCAATTTGATTGATTGATTGATTGATTTATTTAACATCCATAACTGTTACATTATGTACAATTGGACAAGTCAGTTTTATAAAAAAATATATGCATGCTGCTTATATGTATTAATATCCTTATTATCCACTTCTATGCTATACTCAGTGATCTACATTTACCTTATTTTTTTCAGATATTATTTCAAGCAAGTCTTATCATGGTTTCATATCTGATAAAAGATAAAATATTTAAACATTGGAGGAACATCAGTAGTGATAAACATCATTACAATATAAGCAATACATTTCTTTAATAATAAAATTAACTCTGCAGTAACTTATTTTTCAGGGTCCCATTCATGGATCTGGTTGACTACTTGTTTCTCCATAACATATTTTCCAGTAACCAACCACTTCCCCAACTTGGCTCACTTCTGTCACAAAGGTGGAGGACATATATTTCCAAACCATTTGTATCCATCTACCAGACTACATACTGTGACTCAGAAAACCAGAATATGATGCTCATGTCCATGTCTCATAATAGTACCTCATCGTGATAAACAGCTGTATAAATTAGTGATTATAACATTGATATGTACCATTTATCAAGAATATGAGTGTAGTCAATTTAAAAAACTGCATAACAGTTAAACTGAATTTAATATAAAATAGCATCCTGATTCCAAGAAGTGCATATACTCATACATGCATGTGTGAATGTGCATAAACACATTAACACAAATAACCAACTCACAAAATCATTTTTATCACTGTGATTATACTTTTCTTTATTCACGCTTATGGGTATCAGATCCATTGATTAAGAATTCATGTAGGTTTCAAAGAAACACTTACCCAGTACAGTAACATTGGCAGAAGCTGAGCACTGTCCTAATTCATTCTCTAGGGTGAGAGTATATCGCCCAGTATCATTACGAACTGAAAACAAAATCTCAAACACAGTCTGATTGGCAAATGTCTGAATGTCAGCTCGTACTCCAGGTTCCACAGGTTTGCCATTTACAGACCATTTTGCTTTTGGTCGTGGTGAAGCTTCTATTGGGATTGTGTAATTGATCTTCTGGCCTGCTTTTACCACCATATCTTGTAGCAATGTCTTGTCAAACCATGGTGCCTCTGAAAAATAAATGAAGCAAAGCTTTAATTAAACATCTATGTATCCACAGTCCATCAATAATGCAACAATTGTTTATTCACCATTTAACACTTAACACATGTTTCGGCCATAGATGGCCATCTTCAGGTGTCTTAGTGCATTCAAACAGTTACACTGCTCTGATGTTCACTAAAACTGTGCATTGCAGTCCACTTAAAATAACATAAAAATAATTAATTAAAATCTGTTAAAATTTTCTATTAAAACGTTTCATAAAATCCTATTCCACCTCATAAGGGGCGTCGTCCACTTGTTTAGAGCTATGTGATTATTCCAGAAGGTTTCTTCGGCAGCTTGTTTTTCTGTTCTTTAGCCCATTGTTTTGCTATGTCTGCAATCTGTAATATACCCCTTACTTGTGTTGTTCCTTCTGGTAGCGTGTGGTGTTGTCTTCACCAGTGCCAACAAGAATAGCAGTTGAAGACTGAATAGTGGAGTAAAGATGAAACACAAGAGATGACAGACTAGTTCGGTTGCATCTCATGGAAGACATTTCAGAGTGATTGAAATTCCAGTTGTAAGAAACTTATCCAATAAACGGCTTCATCTAATACAGAACCCATTAATTTCTTGTTGTGTTACCAGAATATCTGAGTCAGAGTGGGCGTCCATTGCTAGACAATGGCCCAGTATCCACGTTTCCTGCACAACAGAGGTGACATTTTCATGACAATGGCCAGGTAAATGTTTATTCTCACAGCAATGGAAGGAATGTTTTCACGACAATGGGGGGATTAACTGTTCCATTCAGTGTTCCATAGTAGGTAAGCTGAGCAGTTATGAAAGAGATCAGAATTGCACACAGAAGTGAGAGGGAAGTTCTGAAGTTAGAATTTAAGCCAAGAGTTCAGAATAGAAGTACGAGAGAACACAGAATGTGTGTGAACTGTTGTAATTGAGTGTAATTGTGATACTGACGTCTAATAAACACAACAATCAAATCTAAGAAACCACAATTATTTGTCACGGAAACCCAGACACGTGACAATTTGGTGTCAAAAAGTGGTTATGACCATAAACATGCCACAATATTATAAAAGTTATGGTTACTGTTACATTGCAATACGAAAATGTATTTTTTTTTCAGAAGAGTAGAACATTCATGTCTCAGGCCTTATGTACCATACATATTAAGTACTATATGATCTATTAATAACAATTTCAAATAATGTTACATGCAGCATGACTTATATCTGTAGTATCATGATTCATATGTACATAAGCAACCTATGATTACTGACATACAAAATGAAAAGACTATTATTCTCTGTTATATTTGTGACATGCAGCTGGAATTAAGGTGTTATATTGATTCATGTCTCATTCATGTCCTTTCTTATATTTGAAAGAAGTTTATAATATGACACGTCTAGACTAGGTCACTTGCTCCTGTAATTCAAATACTTACGGAATCTAGGTTTGGCAACGACTGATTTCGATGGTTCACTAGGTTCTCCTGGACCTCCTTTATTTACTGCAATCACACGGAATTCATACTCCTCACCTTCAACAAGATTTGGTACAGTTCCTTTGGTTTGATTTCCTGGAACCTCAGCTGCCTTTTCCCATGGACTGTTGGCAAGAATTTATGAATTTCTAATTACTATTTTGAATTCTAATTATCATTTTGTACAGTTTTCTTTTATTTTGGTACTGTATCAACAGAAAATATTATTAGGAGTTACTATAGGATTCTGACGATGGTGTATAACACACTGATATGTTGGGATTTTGGACTTTATCCATCGTCCTGGTTTTTAAGATAACAAATAAAAACATGACGTTTCGGAAACTGGATCTGTTTCCGAAACGTCGTGTTTTTATTTGTTATCTTAAAAACCAGGACGATGGATAAAGTCCAAAATCCCAACATATCAGAAAATATTATGTGACTTCAACTGAGAAATGAAGATGTGATGAGCAGTATTTTTGACATTGGCCATGTTCCATTTCTCCAAATCACAATATTTCTGAGACCAATTGTTTCTTTCACTAGGTTACAGGCTCAAAGTGAGAAATTCTATTCCATTGAGGCCTTTTGTAGGCCTATTTTCAAATCTCTTGGTCTGGTGTTTGAAACTAGCTCTACCAGTCACCTAGCAGAGTAGGATTCCTGTCATCTGACTAGGAACACTGAACCAGTTTCTGAATGTTGTGGTTTGGAAAATCAGCCAAAAGGATTACTAGAGACCATCAGCAGAAAACTTGACACTTGTGATTATGAGAGTAGACTAAGGAATGATGGAGAAGAAAAAGCCGTTGCACATTTTTTAGACATTATTTTCATGCTCTTCACAAAAGACAGAAATCTCTGAATAAGGACATTCGTCTATCACATCACTGACTTCACTGCACACTAAGGAGAATATTTCTATAAGTTAGTAAAAAAAGAAAGAAGTGTGCATATGAATTTCACCAAGTGTCCAGTAGAGTTTTTAGCATTTTATATATCTGTGACATCCTGGCTTCCAATCTCAGCCTGAAACCTGATACTGATTTTCTTCAGTTCCTGCATGCAAATGCTATCATAGTATTTTAAAACAGTCTGCAACTGTGTCCATTCATGTCATTTAAATTTATCATTATAATCATGCTTTCATTTGATGGAGTACAGTGAATGGTACCAAAACAGGGGTGAGGGCATTATATATATATTTAAGAGCAAGGCAACTCCCACACAAAAACTGAAAATTTGATTTGATATAAATTAAAAGGCATGACTGAGTGAATGAATTCATAAAATGATACATAAAAATAAATCTGATATATTAATTGTTTATAGAGATATGTTGTAAATAGTCATTACCCAAATCTAGTCCTCTTCTCAATAATGTACCCAGTTATAGGAGAACCTCCGTCTTTCTTGGGTGGAGTCCATTTCAAATCCACATGATCTTTGTCCCAGTCTGGAAGATGAATTATATTAAGTAGCAAAGTTACTTGAATAATAATGGTATGCACTATGGTTTAAGCTTTGCTGTCCACTAGAGATTGTGATGAAATGCATGTTTCGTTACCAGACAACTATACTTGTATTATGTATAAATCATGTGATAAAACTCTCATAAAGTGTAACTGTAACACAGCATGGCCAAGTATGATGAATACCTCTCTATAGAAACAAAATATATTTCAAATTGTGGACTTACCCTCAAGTTCTGGTGTTCCTGGTTTATCAGGCTTGTTGAAGGGATCCTTCGCTGTAACTGTTGACTGGCTCGTGAGAGGTAGGGATTCACCTTGCTTATTTACTGCTCTCACTCGGAAATTGTAGTCGTGACCCTCAATCAAGTGGTCCACTCTATTTAACATAAGAGAATGAGAAAGAAATTTTCAAAAACATGTACTACATAACAAGCACAGCATAAAATTAAAAACGTATGTTACTGTTCATAACTTGTACTCTTCTCCAAGTATAATTAGAGTGATCAAGTCGAGGAGGATGAGGTGGGCAGGTCATGTAGCACGAATGGGGGAGAGGAGGAATGTGTATAGGATATTGGTGGGAAAGCCAGAAGGAAGGAGACCACAGGGAAGACCAAGGCGTAGGTGGGTGGACAATATTAGAATGGATCTTAGAGAGATAGGATGGGATGGTATGGATTGGATAGAACTGGCTCAGGATAGGGATCAGTGGAGGGCTCTTGTGAACACGGTGATGAACCTTCGGGTTCCATAACATTTGGGGAAATTCTAGAGTAGCTGCAGAATTGGCGGCTCCTCAAGAAGGGCTCAGCTCCATGAGTAAGTAAGTAAGTAAGTAAGTAAGTAAGTAAGTAAGTAAGCATGTTACTGCATAGATAGTGCTTACATTGAGAATAAATATCACTTGTGTAATTGTAAAAAGCAGCCAATCTCAATTACTAAGTTTGGCAATATTGCAAGCTTGGTTTAAGACTGCTTGTGATCATACCGTATAGAGGTGTTAGTGGCATCACCAACAGGAACCCATCGCATGTTTTCTGTGTCCAATTTCTCCACAGAATAGTGAGTAATTTCAGAACCTCCATCATCTTTAGGTGGACGCCAATGAAGGGTACAAGAAGACTTTGTAACATTCTCTGGTTTCAGTGGGCCTTCAGGAGGCTGTGGAACATCTGTAATACAGAAAATTAAATCTGTATTCAAACCCATAAAATTCACTTAATTAGATCTAGTTAATCTGATCCAGAAAACTGCAGTGTGAAAGAAATGGACATTAGTTCAAGAAGATGATCTCACTGCTGATAAGCCACTGTGGAGGCCTATGTTCAATCCCAGCATATAAATTAAATATGTTAAAAGATAGGCTGACAGTCCTTTTCTCACCTAACACAGTAACATTGACTGTTGCAGAGTCAACACCATTGATGTTCTTGGCAGTGAGTGTGTAGGTTCCACTGTCACTTCTTTTGGCATCTATCACTCGAAGTTTGGTGCTGTAGTTCTCATTCACAACTTTAATACGATCTGTATTAAGGACAAAATTTCCCTTCAGCGTCCATTCCTTTGATGGCGGTGGCTCACCAATTACAGGTACATCAAAGTCAAAGTTCTGGCCAGCCCTGATCTTCACATCAATAAGGGCATTACGATCAATTCTAGGAGCCACTGTAATGGGAAAAATTCATCATTGCTTGTTCTAAGTAGATGAATTTATGATGAATGACTTCCTGGAAATAAAGAAAGCACACTCACGGTTTTTGGGACGAGCAATATGTGGCTTTGTGGCATCACTTGGTTCACCTGGTCCAGCCTTATTCACAGCTCGAACTCTGAACTCATATTGATTACCTTCAATTAGGTCAGGAACTTTTCCAGTAGTTACATCACCTTTAACCTCAGCACATTTTTCCCAATTTGGACTGAAAGAAACACAGCTATTTTATCTATTGCTTACAATCACAGTGAATGAGATGTAATTATAAAGAATATTTGAAATATCACACATTTCTGGAACATACTATTAATTACAATACTTATTATTAAAATGTCATAAGAGGCTGCAAATTCACACCTCATTTGCAATATAATTTCAAGAGAGACATGGAGTCCAAAGCAGATGTAAAGAAATAAGTATCAGTAATTAGTAGTCACATACTATTTAATGAAATTAAAAGTCTGGCATTTTTTGAAGGAAGAATCCTTATAAAATAAGCATTTGTCAGATTTATACTTGCAGCTACAAGTAAAATTAAGTGTATTCATTCAAAATTCCATAACATATTGCAACGATTTTGTTTTAAAATTATAAAATTATATTTGTGGAAATATATATATATATATTAAACTTAAATTACTGACTGTTATTTTAGTGAAGTTCTCTGAGCTAGTGGAGAATAGTGAAGGAGATAAAACTATATGCCTGACCTTGGATAAATTTACTATCTAATTTTGATAACTATCACTAATCAGTGGTATTTTCAGTGCACAAAATAATATTCATAGGCAATATTAATGAATTTAGGTTGATGATATAAAAATCACCATTACATTACAACTCCACATATTTTTAAAAGAAGCAGGAATTGCACTGTCAACAATTCTTTTCCATAATTAATATTCAACAGTGATCATTAACAATCCAAACATTTCAGTGTTAAATAACAACCCTTATAGAGTGATTGAAAAATGTTTCACCAAACTCTGAGATATTGTTTCACACACTGATGCAACTAAACAATTCTGTATGAACATGAGTCTGAAACAGCCATATTTTGTACCTATGTCCTTTTAAATTTTAGAATGTTCAAGGACAATAGCCTGTTGAGGAATTTATGCTTTCGAATAACCCAAATTGTATGTAATGTATGGATTTTATTGACACTTCACTACTTTTGTGAACCTTTTACTACTATTGTGACTTTGTTTTCATTGGTAACATTTTTTGCAATAGTTTGATTTGTTCGTGTATATGTATTGTATGATTTTTTGACTAATTCCATATCCTATGGTCTTTCCGACTAACATAAGGATCTATGGAATGCTATATATATATGTATGTACGTATATGTATATATAGCATATATGCTGTTTTATGATTGTTTACAAATGTACTGTCTCATCCATGTACACGGGTTCATGAGTTGGTCTGTGTCCTGTACCATGTGAAAGCAGTGGTGGATTAGTGTGTGTCTTCTACTGTGCATAGGCAGTCACCAGAGACTGTTTTACATTTTATGAGTGGATCAATGTGATGACAAAATTGTGTTGTTCAGATGAAAATGGAAATATTTACACAAATTCAGGAATGACAGATACGCATTTCATACATATCTTGGTAGACGGCAACATAAAAGAAACTTGTCATCTTCATCATGAATGGCTGCCTGGCCTCAAGATTCCAGGAAGGAGGAGATACAGCAGGATTCATCAGCATGCCAGGGACATTGCAGCATCTGTATTGCACTGAATGGGCTGAGGGAGGCCACGATCAGTGACTACTCCTGATCTTGAGGAATGGGTGTTTCACAGATACAGATACACCACATGGAAGAGGAACCTAGGACTAGTGCGGCCATGGAGAAAGTCTCTCAGAACACAGTTGTGAGAATGGTGTATGAACAATTACTGGTTTCTTACCATTTTCAGGAGATTCAAAGCCTTAACCCTTCTGACTGTCCTAGGAGAGCTGTGGTCAGTTAATGACCTCTTCAAAAATGTGCAATCAATGGACACCTGACATTTTGTTCACCAATGAAACAGGATTTACAAGAGATGGCATTACCAATTTCAATACTACTTGTATGTGGGAAGATGACCCCCCCCCCAAAAAAAAAACTATTCTGCAGTCACCAACACTGATTTTTGATTAATTTGTGGGCAAATACTACAGGGGACTTTGTTAATGTTGGGATATTTGAAAGGTTTAGTTTATGCCACTGCTGCTCATGAAGTAGCAGAGATGCAGCAGCATGTGAAGTATGCAATGACTTTTGAATGTGTATGACAATCCATGTGGCACTGTACTAAGCTCTGCATGAAGATGGGCAGGCAGCATACTGAACGCTCACTACTCTGACAGCTTCAAAATAACTAAGGTGTGCTATAGAGGCTGTTGCCTTAGAATATTTTAAAATTCAAAAGGGCAGTACACTCAACTCTCGATTATCTGGGGGCGGATTAACCACTTTGCGGCTTAACCGGGGGTACCGGGGTATTTTTGAGGCTTATATGTTGTTTAATATTCATTCACTTTTGTCTCACATGGTGAGTTGTAACACTATTTTCGCACTAGTGTGAATCAAGCTCTGCATTATTTGGTCCCGTTATGCTAACACAATGTTCTAGGGTAGGGGTGAAAGAATGCAAGGATTTGTGGAAAGTTTCAAGGACAGATACACCACCCCAGTTAGCCTCTTTGTATCGATCTTCAAGTGCGTTAGCAAAATGTCAGGGTGTAAAAGGAAGCATGTTGTGTTAAGTATTCAACAGAAACTCGTATGAGCCGGGCTTCGAAATGTTAAGCAGTGACAAAATTGTAAGTTCAGTCGGGGTCCAGCCAGAAGAGCGGGAAGAAAGTGAGAATGAGGAAGAGGTGGACAGTGCTGCTAGTAAGAAAATATCACAAGGTGCTGCTCTTATCATTTGGAATCCTTATTAGACTATCTCGAGAGTGAAGAGAACAGTTTATTAAGTGACAAGCTAATATTACGTAGGCTTCGTACGGATATCCATAAAAAGGAAAATTCCAAGAAAAAGCAAATGACAATATTAATTCTTTTAAGTGTTAAGTGTGAATATTCGTAAAAAGTGTTGGATGTTGTTGAACACTGTGATTGAAATAACTAATTCATACTTCAGTGTAATGTAAAAAAGTATTAAATAGGCCATGAGATGACATAAAAATGAGGTTGAATAAATTTAAATACAGGTAGGCCTATATTATTATGAAGGTACAGTATTACAGTACTACTTTTAATAAAATTTGTCTTAACTGGGTTTTTGATTAATCGTGATTTCCATCCCCACCATTATCCCAGATAATCGAGAGTTGAGTGTAGTTGTAAAATGTGACCATTTGAGATGCATGTTTATATAGAATTTTCCATTGCTTTTGTGTGTGTAAATCGTACACCAAAGTTTGGCACAAAATTTTTTGTTCACTCTGTATAGAACACTTATAAGTAAAATGTACATGCCATAAGATATTTCTAAAGCAGAAGAAAGAACAAGTAAAAACAAACCTGAATTTATCTTTCTTCTCAATAACATAGCCTGTGATTGGTGATCCTCCATCCTCACTTGGTCTTGCCCACTCTAGTTCCACAAAATCTTTATCATAATTCTTGATTTCTGGGGTACCAGGCTTACTTGGCTGATCTGTAAAATATAATAAACTGAAGTAATGCCTTGGATCAAAGTCTTTTTTGAGAAACCCTTAGCTAGTCAATAAATTCCAGATCTTTTATGGAACACAAAGGTTCATTCATTATCATGTTCGCAAGAGCCTTCCTCTGGTACCTATCCTGCATTAGTGAAATATACTGTCACATGTTTCTGTGACTAGAGATGGGGTTCAGATTGGTAATTGGTTTATTGGATCTGCATTAGTTGTAACTACATTTAATTATTATGTTATTGTGGGTTTACACAATTATAATAACTACATGGTAATCTTCTCAGTCTATATGCAGTAATCTTCACATATTTACATCACAGAAACTATACAAGTCTCTCCAAATCACACACTCCAAATATCACTGTAGTACCACACACACAAAGTCTTCTATTTCACACATAAAATCTTCACAGCCCAACCTCTTGTTCTCTTCTGTGCTCCTGGTTTCAGTTCACTCTGCCAACTTACGAGTGGACTTCTACAAGGGTTGGAAATTTAATAGTGGCAACACTGCTGTAGAGATGCCGTGCAACGGAACCAAATAATGCCGCTTATACCACATGTTAGTTACATATCTACCTTACCTCAGAGCAAATGGACTCTCCCTTCCCACATCACGTGCATGCGCAGTGACAAGAAGAACAGAGCCTCGTGTTAGCTGGTGGTCTAATGTAGTGTTGTCAAGATGTTTTCGAAACAGGAACCACGGAGTTGGATCAAGATTGAATGTGCCAGAGGCCGTACAGCATGAGTGTCATCAAGGTCTTCAAGAGGCTTGAGGGGGAATCTGCATTGCCTTACAGAACAGTGGCAAGGTGGGTAAAAGCCTTCAATGACGGATGCCAAAATGTGGCAGCCGTGCATCGGGCCAGGTGGTCCTAGTGTCAGTGAAGAAGAAGTGTATGCTCTTCCTGCGTTACCGGAGAGTGATCAACACCATATGATTCATGAGCTGGTCTGAGAGACAGGATTGGAGCATACGACTGTGCTTCACATTCTGAAGGAATGCCTGGGCATGAGAAAAATTGCATCATGATGGGTTCCGCATGATTTGATGGAGATGCAGAAATGGCTATGCTACAACACTGATTTGTTCGATCAATGGGGCTGGAAAGTGCTGTACCATCCACCATACTCCCCAGACTTAAGCCCTTGTGACTTCAACTTCATTCCTAAGATGAAGGAACCACTTTGTGGCATTCACTTCAGAACTGTTCCAGATATTCTTCAGGCAGTAGACCGCTCAATTCAAACTATCAACACAACAGGCGCTGCTAAAGGTATCCTACAACTTCCACATCGCTGGCAACAGTTTGTGCATAATGCTGGTGACTACACTGAAGGACAGTAAAACTTTGAAACATGCATCTATTTTGTATCAGTTGTAAATAAATAGTTGCCACTAGTAAAGTTCCAACCCTCGTAGTTCAAATTTGCTCTCTCGCATGCTTCTGCCACTACTGTTTCTCTCTCTGATGATCTCACAGCTCTGTCACTCACTTATATAGCCAAGGGACTGACATCAACCAACAGTAAACACATATCACTTGACCCAAACCCACTGTTGTTGTGGGATGTCACCACATATGTGCAGCTGATGACACACAGGAAACACATGTCACATGACAGCCACCTACTGTTGATGTGTGACATCACCAATCGTACACCAAATGCTGGACTCAAGAAAACGGCTTGCTCTACTGTTGCAGGCGCGTATCCTGTTTAAAGAGCTGCTGCCTGGCAATGCATTGATCAAATACGCCACAATACATACAAGTTTTAACTGTAAAACACTGAATGCTTATGTGTAATCTAAAAGAATGAAATTCTGTTTTGGATAGGATACATTTTAAACAGTAAACTGAAGATTTGAAACAAATCAGAACACTTACACATAATATAATATTCAACAGATACATTCTTTTCTCTCTCTGTACAACTTGGAAGAAAGTATGTTAGTCTGCAGACGGTCATAAAACTGAATTGATGATCTTTTATAATATACTGTAACGCAAAACACATTAGATAAAGAAAGTTTTTATTCTTTCCTAACTTTGCTTTCTAGACTCAATAAGTCTACACACAAAATACTTGGGNAAATGACATGCAAAGTCATTTAATTAGAAACTATAACTCATTAAAATTCCTGAAAAAAAAAAAAGGTAAATACCTGACAATTTGATGCAGAGTGTGTCTCAAAAGGAAAACTAAATGGGGAACAAGATTTCTGCATCCTTTGCATGGGATTCCTATGCATCCTGAAGGCTGATACACATCATATTACACCCTCAAGATCTATTAAATATAAAGCAAAATTTTATTTTCTTCCTCTCTGACAGCTACGCTTTTTTTCTGAGCTAGTACTAATCCCCTACCCTGCACTTAAATCCATGGAATTTGAAGTGAGGTTACAAACTTAGAATCCCAGCAGTGAATGTGTTTCATTTTAATATTAGTCTCCAGTCAATGCCTAAGTTATCACAAGTTGTCTCTTCCACTTAGGTTTCTGGCAGATTTTTTGTATGCACTTGTAATCTACTCTGCATGTGCTACATGACCTGCCCATATCATCCTCCTTGGCTTGATCATCCTAATAATAATATATGGTGATGCCTATAAATTATGAAGCTCCTCATTAAGCATTTTTCTCCAACCTTCTGTTATTTCATTCCCCTTAGATCCAAATATTCTCCTCAGTACTCTGGAGGCAAATACCCTCAATCTATGTCCTTTCTTAGTATGAGGGACTAAGTTTCAGACCTAAATAAAAAGGTAGGTATAATTATAGTTCTTTATGTCATAATCTTTACTTTTCTAGACAAGGGATGGGCAGACAAGATATTCTGAACTGAGTACTGGCAAGCATTTCCTGAACAAAAAATTGTTCATAATTTATTCAGGAGAGTAATTCTGATTTTTTACATCTTTTCAAAATATTTAATTTAATTCTAGGGTATTATTTATATTAAAATTAATATTTAATGTTTGAAAACTGGAAATACCAATGATGAGAGAAATGTGCTTATTTAAAACTACTGCAAAACTATTAACACGTGGAGCAGAAACATGGTCATGGATAAAAGCAAATAGCGGCTCAGATGAGATTTTTAAGAAGTATAAATGGAAAAATTAGAAGAAAAAAACATAAAAAATTCAGAGAATTAATCTGAAATGCATTGGAAGGTAAGTTAATAAATAATGGAATAAAATGATAATGGCATGTTCTACAAATAAATGAAGAGAGAACCCCACAGAATGGTTTCAACATGAATATACAAGGAAGGTTCTAATAAAGATGGGAAGAAGTGGTCAGGAAGTCACATGGAAGAAGGAATGTAGGAGGAAAATGGGCAAAGCTTTGAGAAGAGGCTTGGTTGTTAGACAACAAATATTAGAGTGGAAATGTATGAGAAAAGGAAGAATTAATAACTACCACCACAACTACACCACTATTGCTGCTGCTACTGCTACAAGTGCTATCACAACTACTACCACTAGTATTAAAACTACAACTACTACCACTAATAGTACAACTACAACAACAACTACTACCACCACCACCATTTTCATCATTGTCATCATACTTTTTGTTCATGATTTTACTAATCATTAGTTCCTAGTCATGTCTTACCAAATGGATTTTTAGCTTCAATAGCTTGGCTCGTTGTAAGAGGTTCAGATTTTCCTTGCTTGTTCACTGCCCTTACTCTGAACTTGTATTTATGCCCTGGTTGAAGACCATCAACTTCTAGGCTTGTGACTGGACCATCAGTTTCACCTGCAGGTACCCAGCGGCCTGAAATGAATGCAATGGTGCACATATAAATGACACAGCCTGTAGACAATATATACATAGTATTTCTCTCACACATCAACAATTATTTTATCATTATTTAATGGTTTTGAGTTTTACTATTAAATAATACTGTTCTGAGATTCTGGGGATTGGCTACAAATATTTCATGCTTGAAGTGACAAGTTTAAACTATTTACATGAATTAATGCCTTATAAAACTTAATGGTTTTATATGTAATGATTTGTATAACCTCAATCTCATGACTGAAATGTTACCTGAAGCTTCATCCATCTTCTCCACAACATATTTCTCAACTGGTTGCCCACCATCATCTGCTGGTGGGTTCCAGTTAAGCTTACAACCTTCAGCATGTACATTAGACACTTTGAGTGGTCCTCCAGGTGGACTTGGTTTATCTGACAAGTAAGTAGAAAGTTAGTACTTCTACACATTTCTAGTAGTGTCATTTGCAATAAAGATGTATTAGATCTTTACTATGAATTATTTGTTTGAATGAAACAAGACATATGTAAAATTCTCCCTACCTGTTAATGTAATAACTCCAAAGATTTCACAGTGTCAAATCTTAATTCATATACTGATCTATTTGCCATGTATCAGCTTCCTTAGATAGATCCCACTGGGGTTTAATGCATATAAGGTGATAAATAACAAGTTTTGAATACAACAGGCCTATATTTAACGAATCCCTAAGTTCATGATTTAACAGCAAAGAATGAAAAAAGGAATTAAACTGCTGAGAACCACAGGGACAGACAACATCTGCTAAACAAGGAATGCTTCTCATTAAATTTCTATGGAAAAGAAGTCTCCTCTGTAACAATCTCTCCTTGCCAAGCTCTTATGATAAACCACATTAACTTTTCATCATGCTATATTCTTACATGAATAATCCTTTACTTTATGATGATAGTAATATTTTATGTGATAACTTACCTAATATTATAACATCCACTTCAGCAATATCTTTTCCATTGATATTCTCCGCTGTAATAGTATATCTTCCTGACTCTGCTCGAGTCGCCGAACGGACATTCAGTTTTGTATTGTACTCTGAATGGTGTACTTTGATTCTCTCTGTTGATTTTACTTCTTTTCCACGTATGAGCCACTTAGTTTCTGGAGGGGGCTCACCAGACACTTTGACATCAAATCCAAAGTTCTGTCCTGCTTTTATTCGTACTTCAATAAGGTTTGTGCGGTCAATCTTCGGTGCCAGGTTACGTGGTTTAGCTATAATTGTGGGCGTAGCATCACTAGGTTCTCCGGGCCCTGCTGCATTCACAGCTCGGACTCTGAATTCATAAGGCTGGCCTTCAATAAGATCAGGAACAGTAGCTGTGGTCTGATTAGCAGGAACTTCAAGGGCTTTCTCCCACTGACCATACTTATCTTTCTTTTCAACAATATAACCAGTAATAGGAGAACCGCCATCTTCCTTTGGTGGCGTCCATTTAAGATCAACATGATCTTTATCCCAGTCAGTAGCTTTAAGGTTTCCAGGCTTTCCAGGCTCATCTAGAAGCAAATAAAATACACAGATTGTGCAATGTACATTTTGTTTTCTATGAGCAAACCTACTTATCTTACAATTTTCTTACCAAATGGATTCTTGGCAATGATAGTTTGATCAGCTTCAAGCGGTTCTGATTCTCCTTCCGAATTCACAGCAGCAACTCTGAATTTGTATTCCTTCCCTGGAGTCAGGCCAGTAACTTCCATGTCTGGGAAAAATAAAGTATTTCATTAGAAAGTTATAAATCATAGATTTACTGCCTATAACAATTACTCATCTAGAATGTCATAGAAATTCAAACATATATCCAGGTGCTTAAATTTTTATGATTGTATTTTAACAAATGATTTCTAAGTATGCATCATCATTTACTTGGTTCTGTTGCACGACCACAAGGAACCCAACATCCACTCTCAGGATCCATTTTCTCCACTTGGTAATACTCAATTGGAGTCCCTCCATCATCCTTCGGACGCTTCCATTTGAGTTTACATCCTTCTTTGTGTACATCTGTCACCTAAAATACCAAATACAACATATAACATCTGACATCAGTAAAACACAAGAAAACTATTATTTTTAATATGAGCTCATATTTGAAATGATCAAAATCATTGCCAATATCCTGGTTTTAGATACAGATATATTCATAATAATTCTATTCCTCAGGTTTCGCAGCTGGAGCCTATTATGTGGCTTTGGCTTTTGGGACTAGATCATGTAAAATGTTGAAATTTTGCCAAAATGCTGGAAAACATTCAACATTATCTATTCCTGAAAGCTGAAGCCACAGATGGTGATAATAAATTAAGTAAATAACAGTTGTTGAGAAATCTGCTTCTTTTACTGGTTTTGGCAGAAAGGATTAATGTAATTTGTTCCACTGATTCTTTATCCACAAGAGTTGGTGTCACAATGATTATTCTAAGGATTATTGTTTACACCATGTTCCCTGTCTACCAAACTACATGATAACACATCCCACAAGACTGTAGTCTTAATATTCAGTACCATAAGAATCTCAAATCTCACATAGTATTCTTAGGTATGATTTATAAATTTCTTGAATGGAACAGGAAATAACCCATTTAACATGCATTACACTTAGCTCTCTTTATTGATTTCAGATGTCCTGCACAGAAGAAACACTACTGACATATACTTGACATTTTTCGTTCAATTCATGTGCAAAAATGTACCTGAAGAGGACCCTCTGGGGAAGTAGGTTTGTCGGTGACAACAACGTTCACAGTGACAGTGTCCTTTCCAGAACTGTTAGAAGCTGTGACAGTGTATTCACCAGAGTCTCCACGTTGTACTGGACGAATCACTAGTTTTGTGTTATAGTCAACATTGTCTACTTGCACAGTCTTTGAAGATCTAAATAAAATATTCATATTAAATTTGTTAAAGGTATGCACTACTGTAGATATGTGAAAACTAATATTTTATAAATCTGGAATTTTATGTATGGAAAAAGAACAACATAGCGCCATAGCTCAAGTGGTTAGTCGCTGGCTTCCCACTGTGGCGGCCCGGGTTCGATCCTGGGCCTGGTCATGTGGGATTTGTGGTGGACAAAGTGGCGCTGGGGCAGGTTTTCTCCAAGTATTTCAGTTTCCCCTGCCAATCTTCATTCCACCAATTGCTCCACAATCACCCTCACCTATCATCTGGGGCTGGTACAATAGGCCAGAAGTGGCTGCAATACAAGGGACTTAGTCCCACCCCACTAGCAATAAAAAAAAATATTAGATAAAATGTACTACAAGTACTACAACTAATTAAAAGAGATTTCTCAATTATAATGTTGCATTTGTTAGCTCATGTCAAAATTACAGGAAAGTTTTATTAATTTATGTTAAAAATTATATCATATGAATAATATTTAAAATAAAAACATGGACTTGTAGCTGAGATTAATCTAATTGCAGCAAATTAATTTCTGAAAGTTGATATTTCTGCTGTTATAGGAAATATGGTGTACTCTCAGTTATTCATATGTACCTAAGTGGCAGAGCTCCATATCTCCATTCCACTGTTGGTGGAGGTTCTCCAATAATATTAGCATCAAACTTGAGTGTAGATCCAGCAGAAAGGGTAACATCACGGAGATTGCGCCTGTCAATTCTTGGAGCAACTGAAACAAATTTAAATATTTCATGTAGTCCAGGAAGTATTCGAAGCACACTTTCATGGCCCATATACTAACTACATATATAAGAGAAGTGTATGAGGTACAAATTTATTTATGACCATCGTTATCTCAAATTATGAAATATGATAATTGTCTTACGGAATCGTGGCTTTGCAACAAAGTTTTTGCTTGCTTCTCCAGGCTCACTCTGACCAGCTTTGTTAACAGCTATCACTCGGAACTGATATTCATTGCCTTCAATTAAGCCATGGACAACTGCCTGTGGAGTAGCCACATCTGTCTCCAGTGCCTTTTCCCACATCACACTGAAACAAAGATGTTAATAAAACATTCAAGCTTGATTTAAAGACATTTATACATTTTAATATTTTCCCAGTTTCTTTTATGCTATACACATTTCACTGCATGCTGTATTTTCAGATACAGAGCTTTTCAATTGAATATAATGTTTAACTCCCACATTAAATGACACCAGCATCCTGCGCAGCTTTGATCTTCTTTATGCAAATATGTGGCTCGACTTCATTTTCACTCAGGGTCACAATGAACATGAGATAGCATAGAGATATAATTCACCATCTTGCCAATAGATATCAGGAATGGTTTAATTACTCTTATAACTACCTATAACAGGAGATATTAGGAAAAGCTGCAGGAATTAGTGTCACAAAAGGCTTCAAAAATGATTTAAATGTGTTGACTTTAGAGGGACATAACACTGAAAGTACTCTCAAGGTAGATAGGAAATAACATGGATGCAGGCATGAATGATATGAAGAAAATATCCTAGCATTGGTCTGGAGAGACAAAAAGGTCATGAATAAAAGTCTGAAGTGTATCCACTACAACAATTTGCTATATTTCATAAATGATCTAAATTAGAAATTCACAATATTCAATTGCCTGTAGGAGTGAAGGAGTAGGAATTAGAATATGCAGCCTTATTTGTAAAGCTTCAATCATTTTAAGGCACTTTTTTGTTTACAGCAAATTTCCATGGTGATAACAAATAATGCCACATACATGTGCACAAATACGGGAAGATTCCTTACAGTATGATCTGAAGTATGGCTCTTCCACTGTGTGTTATTTTCTAACTTGCATAAGAGACAGAAGTGTCAAAAGTGACTGTGAGAACCACTAAAAGTTACTGAAATTACAGCCTTTTAAATCCTTGGATGTGCATTTTTGCAGTATTGTGACCTTGTAGGCAGACTTCATTTTTATAACTGGTTATCTTCCACCAATTCACCGCAGCAGACTTGATCCAAAGTTAACTTTAACCTCAGACAAGTCTTGGTTTCCATTGAATAGACATATCAACACATAAAATAACTGACACTTATGAGTAAGTGCAGAAAATAAACATTTTATACAAGAAATTCCATTACATTATGTAAAAGTGGGTATTTGGCTTATTCTGAGTGTGAGGAGGATAACTGGCCCTATATGCAGAAGAAACTAATTCTGAGAGAAATGTTAAGCACATACTGCAGCTATTTTTCAGGCAAAAGGCAGACAAAGGAAATCTTTATGGACATGTCCATCAGGAATGTGCAACTGCATATACCGCAAAATATACTGTGTAAACTTTAAACACAGTGTATGATGAAAAAGCTGTAAGTCGTTGTTCATGCCCAATTTGTTCTTCTGGCATTACTGTGTGGCCTATTTTTGTTGGAATGTTTAAAACATAGTCTATCAAATAAATCCACACAAGGAAGAACTAACAGAAATAGTATGGTTTGAAGTATTGTGTGTATCCACAGAAAAGCAAGAGTATATGAACCACAATCTGTTTAAAAGGTGTGGAGAACATAACCAAACCAATGGGGAACATTTTCAGAATCTCCTGAAACACAGGTGTACAAAGCTCAATATGACTGCAACTGACAGAATGTGTAACACTGCTATCAATGCAACGTTTGTGCATAGGGGAAAGGCTGTGTTTCAGCTCAGATTGCAAATGATCTCCTGAATAATATCATGCAACCATAATAAGGTAGTACCGAACGGCATGAGCAACTTTTTTTTGCATGCAACCTGGGAACAGCAGACGAAAGAGAGTATGGTGGTAGGTGGAACCAGCTGTTGTGTTAATCTTGAGTGTCTTGTGACGTCAATAGCTTGCATCACGTGACCAGTATCACTCCTAACAAAATGGCCGACAACCATACGTCATTTCACCAGCGTGCTGCATCGCATTTGTTGTGAAAGAGAAAATCCCTGCTGCAGAAATTCACCAGAGACTTCAGCGTGCTTGTGGAAGTGTGTGCATGGGTGAGAGCAGTGTTTGAAGATGGGTGAAACATTTTAAAGATAGGAACACCAGCATCGAAGATGAGCCTCGGAGCGGTCGTCCTCGAACAGCCTCAACTGAACGCAACAAGGAAAGAGTGGATGAGATCATTCAAAATGACAGGCATGTGACTGTGGACACAATAGCCCAAAAACTTGGAATAGGGCACAGTGCAGTACAGGAGATGATTGGAAGCTTGGGCTATAGGAAAGTTTGTGCTCACTGGGTCTGGCAATTATTGACCGAAGGCCACAAAGGTCAGCAAAAAGCCATCACCTCAGAACTGCTGCAGAGATATCGACACGAAGGCTATGATTTTTTGCTCTGTACTGTGACAGGTGACGAAAGCTGGTTTCACCATTTCGAGCCTGAAACGAAATGGCAGAGTATGGAATGGCACCATTTGCATTCTCCATCAGAGAGAAGGCAAAGACAGTGCCATCAGCTGCAAAGGTGATGGGCACAGTCTTCTGGGATGCAGAGGGGTTTATTCTGGCCGAATTCCAGGAACCTGGGCAAACCATCAATGCTGCTCGTTACTTCCAGATGCTGCACAAGCTCTGTCATGCATTGCACGATAAATGTCCAGGATGAAACATCAACATCCTGCATGACAACGCTCGCCCCCATGCCGCTCGCCTCACATCGAAAGCAATTGCAAAGATGGGGTGGGAAGTTCTTCCACACCCCTCCTATAGCCCTGATCTGGCACCCTCTGACTACCATCTTTTCGGATTTGTGAAGGATCAGCTGCATGGACAACGTTTTGAGATAAGGGAGGCAATTTAGAAAGCAATGTGTCAGTGTCTTTGGATGGTTGGAACGGAATTTTACATTAGGGGAATTTTCAAACTCCCAGAACGCTGGGAGAAATGTGTACAAAGAAGTGGTGATTATGTGGAAAAATAAAGAAAGGTCTGTAGATTGAGGTGGTGTATTTGGTTTGTCAATAATAAAGCATGTTACTTTACAAAAAACTGTTGCTCATGACTTTCAGTACGACCCTCGTACATAAGCTTGCATTGTAGCTTTTCTTTACCTGTACTTGTCTTTCTTCTCAATTATGTATCCGGTGATGGGTGACCCACCATCAGAGACGGGTTCTTTCCAAACCAAATCTACATGATTTTGGCTCCAATCAACTGGTTCTGGTGCTCCAGGTGCAGTAGGTACAGCTGAAAATATTACAAAATAACAATGAAAGTAACCAACAAGTAGCACAGAAACTTAAGTATTAGTGACAAGCTTATTTTATTAATTCAAACAGAAATAATTTCCAAATATTTTCAGAATTCACAGCAAGTAAATATTAGATTTAGGAACTGAAAATAAAAATGGAATTTAGTTATAGTTTAATTAACACTGACTGCATAAATTACTTTATATTAGGGTTATCAATCATTATGAATTAACTACAGGTATCACACACACACACACACACAGGGATATAGATATGTAAAATCATGAATCATGGAAAGTCACAATCATTTATAAAATTAGTAGGTATGTCTTGAACTTCTGAGACCGAATGGAGATAAAAATCTCAATCTCCATTCAAATATGAATTTTTCAGTCTTGAATTTAAAGAATTTTCAGATAACTGCTTTGCCTATTTGTAGTAGCATACAAATTTCTCAACCCATTACAATTCTAATGCTTTGCAAAGTCTCAGTGAATAACTTATCTACAAAATCTGTTCTATCAATCTCTTTCTGCCCATGGTGAGAACGTACACAACTCTATAACTGATTATTTTAATGATATAATTATTTATTAAAATCTCCAAGCAAGAAATCATTTGATATTGAAAGGATAGGTCATACACTTTAGTGAATTGTTCAAAAGCGGTTACTCTTATAACTGTGAATACAGTGAAAAAATTTGTATAGTAAAGAGAATTCTCATTCTTTTCCCAACTCTCAAATTTTTCAAATTTTCGTTGTGATCCCACATTGAACTGAAAAGACATTCTCGCTCATGCCTAAAAATTATCAATAAATTTTATTTAATTCTCTGGAAGTACTGCATACAGAGTAAGAAATACAGAGCTTCAAAGCATGCATGAAGTGCACATTAGAAAGATTACATTTCTCAATTTTCTTGTTCCAGTTCAGTGATATCATGGGTTACTAAATTTCTTCATATCCCACCCTCTTCATATGTCATCATCACTTTCCTGTGATACACTGTGTTAAAACTTATACGTTTAATTGTAAAGGAATATACTTCCCATCCGCTATAGCATAAAGCATGCACAAAGGCTCAAAATGTAGAAATACTGTTACTGACTTAGCACTTACTGGCTAACAAACAAATGACAGAACTTCAATTGCTTTAAAGATAATATACAAACAGAAATGGAGTCATCTTAATGACATGGGAGAAAGATGGGGTAGTAGATAAAAAATTAACATCTGTTACACTTTGTAAACTGCAACATATAAAACTGATTTCTTTTCTGTATTTTAAAACCCTCTATCCACTGCAGAAGTTATAAAACATCAACTATGATGTGATTTAATGACTGCACTGAAAGTGATGAATCAAGAAAAATATGGAAGGAAACAGTTGCAGTTTATTTTAAACAACTACTATCGTCTTATAATTTGATTGGAGGGACAAAGAACCAGAAAGAAATATTATTAACAATTAACATAAAGTGAGGTCAGTATTGTCACAGGAGCCTGCTTCCTGGCCTCTGTGTGCCTCTAATTCACTCAAAATATTCAGACCTCCTACCCCGTTCTGGAAGATTTGGGAAATTTTTCAGTAGACAACAAAACCAAAGTCACCCAAGAACTCACTAGGCACTTCTCCTAGTGCAATACCCCTACAGCAGCAGCAACAGCTGTCAAGTCCTTCTGAGACCCCAATTCTGTTCAGCTCAGTTCAGTTAAGTTCAGCTCACTGCAGTGCAGTGTAGGGCAGATGAGTGAGAAGTGAGTCATTAAGCATTTGGTCAGTCAGTGCAGACAGTCAGAGAGTCAGCAAATTAGTTAGTGAGTCACTTTTCTGTTCAACTAAATGCAGTGCCTAGAAGTCGAGGAAAGCAGTCAATGCAGTAAGTGAGCAGTGATATTGCTGTGAAGTAACCACTCAACAGAGAACTAATGTCTACATCATAAATGGCTATGGATGGTGGGGCAGTAAATACTGTACTTCATAAATTATTAATTTAGTCTATATTTTTACTTCTACATTCATTTGAAAAATACAGTTAGCTCTATAGGAACCTGGAGAAAATTAGTATACATACTTTAAAGATGGTAGAGATCCACATAGGATACCAGGTAACAACACTGCCCACTGTTATTTGTGAATAAATGTCTCATTTGTGAAAAGAATTGTTCAGTCATCCTCAAACTGAATTTGATTATTTATACATATTAATTTCAATAATTTATTTGAATCATTTATCTTACACAGCAATTGAGAGCAAAACTGAGAACACTCTCATCATACAGTAGGTGTATACCTAACACTAAAAGCCCGATTTTGTGTGAAACCCAGGATCAGTGCATTGAATATAGGTTCTACAAAACAGTGTAGGTGAAAGTCCAAAAATGAGAAGACAGTAAATTTAAGAAAATGCTTTGTCACTGTTGAAAAGGGTTTTAAATTTTACAGAGTGCAAACATATATAGGCAAAATATACAAAAGGGTATAAATTTAGTAACTTACTCTTGTAATAAATATTTTTAAGATGCAAGTAATGTTTGGTTTTACCAAAATTCTGGCTTTTAGGGTTAACATACATATTTGCTTGAGCAGTAAGCATGCTTTATTCACCTGTTCTGTTCTGAGTTTATTTCTTAAAATATACTGTAAAGACAAGATGTCAAGATACAGACTGCCTTAATTTTATTCAAAGAACCTCTTTTTGGTATTAAAATTTTTGTCATTATTTTTATTGTCCCTGCTGCTGTTGCAGTCTTATTTATATATTTATGTGTATTTATTTGCTCCTATTGATACCTTGATTATTTTGTCAATACTTACTAAAGGGATCCTTGGCTATGATAGATGAAAGGGTTTCCAGAGGCTCCGATTCACCCTCTTTGTTTACTGCTTTAACGCGGAATTGGTATTCATGGCCAGGGATCAAGCCCTGCACTTCCAACTCAGGATCCTTTGTTCGTCCAACAGGTAACCAAATTCCAGTGTCAGGATCATATTTCTCCACCACATATGCGTCAATAGGTTCACCACCATCATCTTTCGGCTTTTTCCATTTAAGTTTGCAGCCATCCTTGTGTACATCAGACACTTCCAATGGACCTTCTGGTTTTCCAGGTTTGGCTGTAAATTAAAAGAGACTGGATTTACATTGTGAATGTGGTGCAAGTTACCAACAGATGTAATTCCTTCTTTGATAGGAATGTCAGGGAGAACTAAAAGATCAAATTCTATACAATTGGATTCATAAAATATCAGGCCATATGCTCCAGAATAATGAAAATTTGCTGCCATATTAAGTTTACTGTATTATGAGAGAGGGCACATGGTAGCATATTTGGTTGAGGCACTATGCTACATGCTGGAAGGTCACAGGTTCGAGTCCCAATCTTCTGGAGGATAAAGGGAGGCTGGTGCATAAAGCTGTCAAAACTTAGTGCCATTTTGGAGCCACTTGTCTAGAGTAAATGTGGGATTTTTGACATCTCACAACTGTACAGACCTTCACAGCCTGTTACAGGGATAGCTTTACATTTTAATGTATTATGACATTACCAGACTTATTTATATGCTATTTATATGATATGTTTCAAATTAAAGATTTCATTTTGTTATGCTTTAACAAGTGGAGGAAAGCGTAAATTCCTTCTTTGTAAATTAACACTGATTCAGGAAATATACTTCTTTGCAATGTGGTAGGAGAATGGAACATAATTCAGACTTTGTTGACTGGATTTAAAAACTATATGTTTCACAGTACACAGTACTAATGTATAGCTTAGGGCCACACCATAGCTCAAGCGGTTAGTCACTGGCTTCCCACCGCGGCGGCCCAGGTTCGATCCTGGGTCTGGTCAAGTGGGATTTGTGGTGGACAAAGTGGTGCTAGGGCAAGTTTTCTCTGAGTACTTTGGTTTCTCCTTCCAATCTTCATTCCACCAATTGCTCCACAATCACCCTCACCTATCATCTGGGGCTGGTACAATAGGCCAGAAGTGGCCGCAGTACAAGGGACTTAGTCCCACACCACTAGCAATAAAAAAAATGTATAGCTTATGAAATATTTCAAGTTAAAATTAATTTCTTCAGTCATGTCAGCTTCCTTATTAGCCTTATCAGAACAAAACGATGGGTGTCTTAATAGTTCTTCACCACAGGACAATGTGTGAACATACTGTAATGCACTAAGTGTGGGGAGAGGGGAGAGGTAGGTCACATGCCTTTGGCACACGCCTCCCTTGCAGCTTCTTGATTTCACTGCTGCCACTACCATCACCCCTCTCCTATGTCAATTTATAGACTGTTCTCAAACTGTGCCGTCTGACAGAAGGTTCTAGAATCACTATTCCTATCACAAGTATCAAGTATGTCAAATTCATGAGTTCAGTCAGTCTGATCTAGAAGTGGCATGCAGATTTCATGTGTGATGGAACAGAGTAATGTGATGCAAGTCAGCGAATGCAAGAAGAGAATAGTGCGGTGGCATTCAGTGAACTAGTAGTGAACTAAGAAAAAGCTGATATCAAGAAGGTAAGTGTACACTGAATATAACTGCTCCAAAACAAGATATACATCACAATATAATATGAAATTCTTCAGAAGTGTGTATGCTTCTAACAGTTCTTGGGAATAATTAGAATATCTTACTGATATAGTAACATTATTTATAAAGCCATAAATGACAGTGAAACTAAAAGGAAATTTCTCTCTCTCTCTCTCTCTCTCTCTGTGTTTTTCACCATGAATATTCAAAATTGTTGAATGTCATAAGATACCAGTGAATGTTAAATTTACCAATTTGGTTGGTGCAAGCTTAATGTTTTTCTACATTTTTAAATTTATTTGGACATAAACTGATGTATGTCACAGTCACACAGAATACAGGTGCATGTTAGTAGAATGGAATGGCTACTGGATGATTCTTCTATATATGTGTGGTAATGCAGCAGTGAATGCCATCAGCAAAAACAATGGCATTTCACACAGATCACAAAATATGCCGTGATCATACATACATACATACATACATACATACATTTCATTTCATTTCACAAGTCCAGACAAATGGACATGAAGGTCGTCATACAAAATTTAAACAAACACACAGATAACAAAATAATTAAAACTAATTGTTTATGTTATGCTCCACATATTCAGAAACTGTATAAAAGGAATTATTCATAAGATATAAAAACAGCCTATTTTTAAAACTAATTCTATCCTCTTTAAGGCTTTGAATGGTTATGGGCAATCTGTTGAATAGTTTAATAGCAGTAAACATAGTACCTTTCTGAAAAGCAGAAAGATTTGAGTTTGGCAAATATAATTGCTTTCGATTTCTTGTTTTCAAACCATGAACATCTAAACCTGAACAAAATTTAGTTTGGTTATCAATCACGAACATCATCAACGAGAGAATGTATTCACATGACAATGGCAGTATATTCAGTTTCGTAAAAGATCCCTATATGAGTCTCTAGGTCCCACTCCAGATATAATCCTTATTACTTTTTTTTTGTAATTTAAAAACTCTAACATTATTCGTTGAGTTGCCCCAAAAAATTATTCCATACTTAAGAATAGAGTGGAAATAAGAAAAATACACCAATTTGATCATCAATTTGATGATAAATTTCAAAGGTTAATTACTGCCAAATAAGAAGCTAACTGCCAATGAGAAGTGGTAAATTGTTCTCGTGCTTCTATTGGTTTTATCTCTTCTATGAGCAAGCACAAGGAAACTGACTTCTCATCCTACATTTCCTTCCTGTTTTCTATGAAATCCAAAATTTCGTCAAGGTGATTGCTCTGCTTGCTATCTGCTTTACGTTGGTTTTCTTTGTTTTATTCTTTGACCCTGAAGATAAAGGAGACATTTCCTCTGAAATACTGGTTGATTTTCACCAGAGCGCACAGCATTATATTCCAGAAGACAGAATGCTTAGGAAACACAAACTCTGCAAAATTCCACGTGATATCCCCTCACTGTATTTTATGAATTTAAACAAATTACACAGACTACTGAGTTATCAGCTCAGATGGCACAAAAATTGGAGGGAACATTGCTTGTGAAGTGTGATGAAACAAGGGCAAGGTGCAGATATGTGTTAATAATTTTGTCATTCGCACAGAGCCTGAGAGACTCAGCATGTGCGTCTTCTTTAGGGAACACCAAGCCCCTCCCATTCTAGATCCTTCTGAAGAGTGTCGAAGGCTGAGGAGTAACCAAGAACCCATGAGAGGCTTCTAGAATTACCATGTCCATAAAACTATTTTTGTGAAGTGAGAAGAGAGAGTCTGAGGGAAGTTACTGTAGCATGGATATATGTAACCAGTGCAGAGAGAAACAGATATGGAGGACTGTGTGCCATGAGTGAAGAAGTTAGTTCTATGATGGCAGCGACAAGCTGTAAGAAGAGGAGAGTGCAGTGGCGTTAGAGCGAAACATTCATGGACAAGACAAATTGACATCAAGATCTCAAGTAGCTATTGAAATTAAGACAATAACTTGTTCAAAACAATGAGAAATGGTAAGGTTTAGTTATTTGACAGAAGGTATTATATGTTCTGTAATCCATAATATCACTTCCTTTGTGTTCTGCATAATATAATTTCTGATAATAATAGCAAAGTGTGCCATTTCTTGAAAAGAGAGTCTTTGGGTACATACAAACATCCTAATAAAATGAGTGTAGATTAATCTTAATTTACGTGCCATATCTGAATTTATTAAGAAAGTGCATGCAAACAAAATAATTAATTTTGTCATACAGCCCCTTTCATAGATTTAGAAGAAAATGTAGCCAAGAAATGGATTTTAAAGGAAACAGGACACTCTGTTATTTAAAAAATGATATAATTTAGGCCAGAGAATTTAAATCCCAGATGCTGAGGATGTTAAATGATGAACAAATTGACTCATTACACTTTAAATATAACTTCAAGTGCAGAAAACTGTCTCTTATGGGTATATAGACACGATTCTCATGATTCAGGAGAGATTCTAATAGAAGGATCATGATAATGAATGTTTGCTTTCGACAAATTTCAGAGAATTTTTGAACAGACAGGCAACTATTAACTCTCAAGTAGGACTGTGCTTAACGGAGTTAGTTGATAATTTCAAATAGTGTAATTTCTTTAAAAGAACAATTAAATCCACTAAAGTATATTTTTAATCATTTCATAAACAGATCCTTTTATATTTTTGTACTGTATTCCATTTTAATTAGCAGATTTATCAGAGCCCTAATTCCCTACATTTAATGTTTCTAAAATGGTGGTGTGCAATGTAGTGTACATTATGATGTACTTCAATTATGGACCACACATACAAAGTTTTCACTGCACAACAATGCAAACACAAGGGGAAAATATGTTATACTTACAAACAACAGTTACTTCAACCTCAGCAGTGTCAGAACCATATTTGTTGACAGCATGAATCTTGTAAGTGCCACTGTCTTTCCTCTCAGGATTGTCATTGAAGAACTTGGAGTTGTATGGAATATTCTCTATCCTGCGATAGCTTGTTTCTTGGATAGATTTGTTATTGAGATTCCATGTGACGTCTGGTGGTGGTTCACCGATTATCTTCACATCAAAGAAAATGGGTTCACCCTCACGTACTGTGATTGACCGCAAATTACGGCGGTCAATTTTAGGAGCCACTGTGGAAATATAAATATAAAGTTTCACTTCAGTTTTATCTTTCATACATAAAGATTTCTCAACAGCTAAAAATCAATTTGACTATAACAGAGATTCTCTGTTGGTTTTAAAATTTATTCAGAAATAAATGTACACTAATTTTAAGTGTACAAATTTTGGGCATATTTCATATTAGCGTTAATTAAGTGTCCTCACTAAAATTGTTTACAATTAGATTTCAAAAGTTTAGAGTCTTAAACTATTTATTATCATCACACTGAAGAGAACTGTATCATACCAAGAAAACAAACCCTAATTTCCAAGACACTCATCTAAATGAAATGCTTGTATAATCTGTTTCCTAAGAAGCTTCATGGAGCACAGTGAAGTGGTTATGTTGCATCATATGAGATACAGAATGATGATAATGAATGGTGTGCCTGTGTACATAATAATAAGCTGTCTATGCCTATAACCATCAAACTAATGATCTAGAGATACTGAGGAAAACTAAGAAAATTTTAATCAGATATTCCAGCCAAATACTTTTCACAAGTAGAAACAGTAACCACTAGAGAGTGAAGTGAACTTAATTTACAGACACATCTTTAAATGAGTATATGTTTTTTAAACAGAGGAAACAAATATTGACACAAATTAGTGCATACATCCTGCATAAATGTCTGCAACTTGTAGCTCTGACATCACATTTGAAAGTCAGAACAGTTTCACCATTTCTCTTAAACAATTGAATATTAAGTTAATATGAGAGATATATGAATACCCAAATTTTATACTTCAAGCTCAATTTTTGACACCAAATGAAAATTCAATTAATTTATTTTGGTCCACTAAAATTGTATCCTTATTTTTACCTAAATCAATTTACTTCATATTGAAGTCATTTAATATATCTGAAATATCTTATCTCATTAAGCTCTGTAAATTGAGCCCAAAATGTGCTTTATATATAAGAATTATAATTGCATATTTTTTAGAATTAATTTTAGTGACACAGTCATTTTGAACATCAATTTCCTTACAAAATATCAACATGAAATTCAAACAAACTGTAGATATAACATGATAATTTTCTTGAAGTCAGATTTAAATGCATTTTTTTTTATTGCTAGTGGGGTGGGACTAAGTCCCTTGTACTGTGGCCACGTCTGGCCTATTGTACCAGCCCCAGATGATAGGTGAGGGTGGAGCAATTGGTGGAATAAAGATTGGCAGGGGAAACCGAAGTACTCGGAGAAAACCTGCCCCAGCGCCACTTTGTCCACCATAAATCCCACTTGACCAGACCTGGGATTGAACCTGGGCCACCGCAGTGGGAAGTTATGGATTAACTGCTTGAGCTATGGCGCGGCCATGATTTAAATGTAAGTACAATGTGGTTATTCAAATAGTTCAATATACTTAAATATAATATAAGGTTTCAATCTTGCCAGCTCATCACTTCATCAAAATCTGTGTAAATATAATGAATACTCCTCCTTAAAAGTAGAAACATTAAGTCCAGAGAAAGTGTTTTTTCAAAATGTTCAATACGGTTACAATTAACTTTTGTCCGACAGCTTGAAGATTGAATTGTTCATATATCTTTAACTGGCAATTACCTAATTAAGAAAGTATTACAAATTGCCTTATAGATACATACATTTTCTTGGTTTGGCAGTGATGGGTTTGCTGGCTTCACTTGGTTGACCTGGGCCAGCTGCATTCACTGCACGAACCCTGAATTCATAAGCCACACCTTCCTCCAAATTGTCTGCTCGTCCCTTGCAGTCAGGCCCTTTTGTTTCACCAGCTTTTGTCCAACGTGGAGATCCTTTTTCACGTTTTTCAATCACATATCCTGTGATTGGAGATCCACCATCCTTTGCTGGTGGAGTCCATCTCAGGTCTACATGGTCCTTATCCCAATCAGTAGCTTCAGGAGTGCCCGGAGCATCAGGTTCATCTGTAAGCAGGCATAATATACAGGATGTTGTGGAAGTAGGAGAGCTGTGACTATTATGAGTTAAAATCTGGAGCCTCAAAGTGAAATTTACTGGCTTGTGAAGAAATCTGTTATAGAAATTGGAACAACAACATAGAAGTGTTAGGTAATTATTACCTTGTGAAGAAATTAAATTGATTGTGAAGAAATTTTATATCAAATTTTGGAACATAAAAAAGTTCAACATTTCATTAAATGAAGAAAGCAGTCTTCTGGGATTTGGCACCATGTATAAGTGGTGTTAACCGACGTTTCGGAGGAACGTATCGCCTCCATCTTCAGGGTAGAAGAAAAATATAAGAATTCTGCAAGCGAAGAGACCATGAGAACCGGTAGAAGCAGACTGTGTGGGAATATACACATCTATGTGAGAGCAGTGAGGTTGAAGGGGGGAAGGGCAAGTATACAATTGAAAGTGGGATGGGTAGGGGAAAGGGAGCTGGGACAAACAACCACCCCCACCCCCCTCAGCTTACGGATTAGTGCCCAGCCTTTAACCTTGCCTTTCTCTCCCCTACACAAAAACCATGCTTGTCCCAGCTCCCTTTCCCCTACCCCTCCCACTTTCACTTGTATACTTGCCCTTCCCCCCTTCACCCTCACTGCTCTCACATAGATGTGTATATTCCCACACAGTCTGCTTCTACCGGTTCTCATGGTCTCTTCGCTTGCAGAATTCTTATATTTTTCTTCTACCCTGAAGATGGAGGCGATATGTTCCTCCGAAACGTCGGTTAACACCACTTATACACGGTGCCAAATCCCAGAAGACTGCTTTCTTCATAGTCACTGCCGTGAAAGCCTCATATCTTACATTTCATTAAATACCCATATGAGTTTCCGGCTAGATATTATTTGAATTGTGTCTTGTAGAAGCATTTCCATTTCTCAGAATAACACAAAAATTCAACATCAGTCATTCCTAAAGACTCATAGATTTTACCATATTTTAAAAACGTGTATTGTTAACATTTAAATTTTCAAATTTTCCAGCAGCTATTAGATATTCTAATGCTTCTAAAAAGGTTTACACGTATTTAAAGACAAACATTTTTGTTTTATATCTACTGTCCCTTAGTCATGAACACAATTTACATTCTTTAAACTTTATTTCATAGATATCACTTACCAAATGGATTTTTTGCAATGATGGACTTGTCAGCTTCAAGTGGTTCAGATTCTCCTTCTGCATTGACAGCCATCACTCGGAATTTATACTCTTGACCAGGCTCGAGGTTATCAACTTCCATCTTTGGCTCCTTTGAGCGACCAACTGGGACCCACCGCCCTGTGTCATTTCCAGTATTAGGATCGGTTTCTATGCCATATGACTTTTTTCGGAATTTTCATTAATCAGAATGATTTCTGGTATTACAGATATGTTTCACAAAACCACAGTGTTTTACATTTTTCTAGAAGTTGGTCAAGGAGAGTACTTAACTCATTCCACATATTTCCTCATACAAAACTGTACCAAAATTCTTCTGTAAAATCCAAATATATGACCAAAACAGATGAATAAAGACTTGAGCTTTTTGGTGATTAATCACACAAATGATGCTCAGCACTGAAACTCCACTCATCTGTGCACATTTTGACTCACCTGAAAGATTATTCCTATCAACAGGCTAAATTTTGTTGCCTTTCTCTTGTAATAGACTTTACAAATATTTTTTAAATCTAACAGGAACAAAGCATATGATGAATATAAAATTCAAGATTATATTTCTTAATATGACCAGTTATATATCCATTTACTTTCAAAACTGTTCAGATGAATGGGTATTCTATTCCACTGGTATGATTATACACTTGCTGTTCATGTTGATAATTATGCATTTAGAAACTACTATGTTTCTGGTGATAAATAACAATAGCCAAGTATGTATGTATGCAACATACTCACAGATTAAACGAGACAAATGTACCTGATTCTGTGTCCATTTTTTCAACTACATAATGCTCTATTGGTGAACCACCATCATCTTCAGGGGCATTCCATTTTAGATTACAACCCTCCTTGTGAATATCTGAGATCTTCAAAGGTCCTTCAGGCTTGCCAGGTTTATCTGCATACATAATACAAAGCATTGTTCTCTGACAGACAGTTGTAATTGAAATATAGAAGGGCAAAATTTAAAATCTGTTACATTTCATCTAATATTTTGCAAAATGATAATATAACCAGATTTTTATAGCAGCTAATGAATTAATCAAAACACAATTATATCAGTGTTTTTGGGCCTGGAATAGAGAGATATTTTAGGAACCATCATTTACAGGCATAGAAGAAAAATTTTGCATTTGAGAATATTCAGAAAGGATAATGTAGCATGTATTATACAGTTGCTATGCAACAATTGTGAGAAGTAATATGCATTGCTTGGTAATGGTCAGTAAACATTTTCCAGTGGAAATGATATCCAGTATATCAATAGGAAACCATCCATGACAACAACAGAAGAACCGTTGGAGGTTGTTTTCTCTGTTTGGTCTGCCCCAAGGCCATATAGCAAGGATCCCAGGCTGGTTGAGTGGCAGTTTAGTTGAATAAAGTGAAAAGAAGTAGTTGGTTGGTGACTGAGAGAGTTCATCTGAGTCAAGCTCTGCACAGAAGGCTGAGAAGAGATGGCACTAGAGTTATATTGACAAGTGACAACAGTTCAGTTGTGGGATATTTGCTGGACAGTAACAACTTGAGCATGGAACCTGAAGAATCTCTATTGGTAGGATCTGTTACCAGGCAATGACTACTGGAGACTGTAACAGTCTGAGAACACTACTGTGTGTGTAACAGTAAACTGCGAGTGTAGTCATGAGTCATTTGTTCAAGTGATCAATACATAGTCACCAATCCAAACTCCATCTATAGTCAACCCTAAACTGGGACAATAATAAGAATTAAATGTACATAAGGTCTTGATTGTATTTTTCTTGAATCAGATGTTATGCATTAGAAATTTACATCTTTGCTTATAGTTCAGAAAGTATCTAGTTGTAGGATTAGTGGTGGTGACAGAAGTTTTCATAACTTTTCTTGGTCCCATTAGGCAAGTGATAAATGTGTTGACTAAAACAGGATATGAATGAAAACTTCAAATCATTTCAAAACTCCTGACCACATTCAAGTAACCACTTTCTCTATAGGACCAAAATATAAAATATATCCATCTGACCCATTCCTTTTTATTTCATTACAATTAACAAGAAAAGAAATGGCTTCTTATAAAAACAGTGACTGACTATTTTGTTTCTTTCATTAATTTAATGATGCAATTCTGTCGAAGGTTTTATATAATAACTTAAAATGATCCTACAGAGCACCTGAATCGATATCTGCAAGATGAAAGACAACATAAGTGGAAGAAGTAAAATCGATTGTGAGCTTATTTCCTCTTCTGTTATGACCCTCTAAGCAAGAGCTCTTTGCCAAATAAAGAGGTCACTGGGTTCTGAAGTCATAATTTCTACTTAAACAGATGAATAATTTACTGGGAGTATATAATGAAAATGATAGTGACAGTGGTGATTGTGAGAGTGATAATGACAATGACAACAGTGATGTTTAAGGTACTGGTGGTGGTTTTGGAAGTAATAATGGCATTGTAGATGGAATGAACAAATGAACATACCAAGTACTGTTACTTCAACAGCAACCTCATCTTTTCCAGAACTGTTTTCAGCTTTGATTACATATGTCCCTGAATGCTTCCTTGATGCAGGCATTATGACCAGTTTTGTCTTGTAATCTTCATTATCAATGCTGATGTCATCTTTGGAATCAAGACGAGCCTTGTTGAGGAACCATGACTTGCTTGGAGGAGGCTCCCCACTGATCTTGACATCAAATCGAATATTCTGACCAGCTTTTATTGTCATGTCTTTCAGTGTACTACGATCAATGCGTGGAGGAGCTGAAATAATTACATTTATGTCAAGTTTAACTTCTGACTACAAATTATTTTTCTATGTGTATGCTTAGAAAACACACAGCCATTAAATTAATACATTTACATTATTCCCTACTGAAAACCATCACAACACAACAATCAATAATACGTGTAAGTAGTAAAAAAAATAATACATTTGCATTAACAATAGAGTAATAATATGATGGCATGGAATAAAAATAATGTGACATGTTGCGCCAAGCCGAGCCCCCCCCCACACACCAGCAGTGACGCGTCGGGTGAGTCAGCGCTCCCCTCCCCCTCCTCCGCACGGTAACGAAGCCCGCCCCGCCACTCCCCTCCGCGGTGACGTCACGCGGTGACGTCACGCGGTGACGTCATGCGGTGACGCGGAACTGCTTCCTACTGTGACGTGGAACGTAACAGGCAATCCTGCGGCTATATAAGTAAGCTGCAGTGCCGGTACGAAGACAGTTCTAGTGTGGCTACCGCAGAGTTGTACTGAGTCAGTCAGCGAGTCCTGGACCTATCGTCGAGTTAGCCAGCAACCAGTCAGTTGTATTGTGGCATTTGGAGTGTACTAATTGTGATACTGCAGGTAGCAGTAATCGTCAGATTGTAATTTGGGTGATTGTATGAGCGAATGTGAAATAAAATTCGCTACATCAAATACATCGAGAAGTTATTTGTCGCAATATACCCCGCGACACGCGACAATAACATAGTCTTTCCATAATTATTGTTCTCATTTATGCATTACATTTTAAAGGTTATGATATTCATAAATAAAGTAAGTAAGTAAAGCTATCCCTGTAACAGGCCATGAAGGCACATAGGGTTGTGAGACGTTGACCATGTTTCACTATTTCTATTTCTTCACTGACTTCAGTTCCTTTCATTGAAATTTATTCATGTTATGAACACCTTTCTTTGATGATGGATTATAACAATATAACTGTATTTATAATAACATTCATGTAATAATTCTTGTTTATATATAAAATATCTCTCATTTGAACATTTTGGAATGAAAATGAATATTGTAATTTAATAATGATATTAAGTCAGACTCACCAAACCGATCCTTGGCAGTAATGGTATCACTAGGATCACTTGGTTTGCTCTGACCAGCTTTGTTGACAGCACGTACTCTGAACTGGTACTTCATCCCTTCAACCAGATCGGGAACTTTGGCTTCACACTTGTTCCCAATGACCTCAACAGCTTTCTGCCATTTAGAACTGGAAATTAATTTTTAAATATTCTGAACTTTGTGTCTCACAAAGTATCACAGCCTATTAGCCATGCTCAAGTCCTAGACAAGAAAATTTAATTTACATGATTTATTATAGTAATACCATGTATCATACAATTTTCAACTCACTGGGTAATTTTCAAGAGATTCAGCAATAAGACTATTCTATTGGAGTCCATCCTACCATCTCAGTTTCAATATCCTGCTCTCAACAATATCATCATCACAGTCCTATAAATTGTTTCAGTGAAAGAAATATTACAACCATTCAATTCATAAGCTAAATCTTTATTCTGTCACATAAATTATATCTGAAAATATGAAACATTTACAAAAACAAAAATTTTAAAAATAAGAGCCTCAAACTTNACAGATTTGGGAGGAAGGAGGTTTAAATGTCAATCCACAGGACAGCTACACTGACCGATTTCTTAAGATTTTTACCTTAGTTCCTGTAGGCAAATGCCAGGATAATATATTAAAATGTGTTATAACCACTTTATTACACGTTCATTCCAATAAAACCACTGATTTCATTGCTGCAGAGAGGAAAGATAAGTATGTAAAACCAAATCCATTTTCCATACTTGTACCAACTATAACACATTATGCACATTATCTTACATAAACTCTCCAGTACCACTTATAGGATTTGAAGATGATGTATGCTAATAGACTACTAACATTATGTATTTACATTTTGACTCACTCATAAATTTCTTCCGAAGTTAAGTGAAGCATGTTATACAGTTAGATCTATGTTATATAACAGCAACACTGACGCTCTACAGTAAGTTCATTTTGTCTATTTTCACACTATAATGAAATATGGAACAACTTTCAGGGTAGTCCATCTAATAGCAAAATAATATTTATACTACAAAAGAAAACTGTTAGAATCATAGCAGGAGACAGATCTAGAAATTTTTATATGTGTAGAAGTCTATGTAGGAGATTAAAGGTCATTCCCCTTCCATATAAATGAATATACATTTTCATTAATGAACTTCATTGTAAATAACCAAGAGCACTTTCAAACTAATTCAGCTGTATACAGTATAACACAAGGAACAAGCATCATCTTCATAAACCTGCCAATCTATCATGTTTCTGGCATCAAAAGTTTCAACAATCTACTATCTAATCTAAAAGGTCTTATGAATGAAAAGCCACAACTTAAAGTAGCACTAAAAGATACTGAAATACACTCTCCTCCTGCTCTGTTGATGAAATCCTGTTACTTTAAAGTTACTCATAACCTCCTTAAATATTAGCATGAATAGCATATGTGGACAGAAATAATGTTTATGTGTGGATCTACCTGAAAATTTGAATATTTTATATGAACACTTAGCCTAGTTTTTATTTTTGATTACTTATGTGGAAGCTCAGATGTAATAAATTGTATGTATTATGTTTTTATAATTCATTCCACATTCTAAGGTCATTTTTGACTAACTTTGGTTCCATGCAATGTAATATACAACAAACCAACCTTCCATTCAATGGAACATAAGACTGGAAGCTAGAAAAGCAACAATAAATCAAGCAATCAAAGGCAACGTAGGAGGGCTTGTATGATGACAGGTATGTCTATAAATGTTGTATAGTTTAACTGGCCCCTCTAATCAGACAGAATCATTCTATATGAAGTAAGTGTCAATATTTCCAGAAAAACCTGTTTGTTGCATACCAAATTTAAATTTATTCAATATTATTCTTAGAACAAACTGAGCTGTATTGCAGCAAAGTAATGCTATTAACACATCTACAAACTTTTTATATCCTAAGAAAACAATCACAAAACTAATAACGACAGCTTCCTATGCACACTTGGCACTTCTACATCCTGGATGATGAAAATATAATTGCCATTATCACATTCTTCTCTTCAACTCTAATCCTCATGTATTAATAACTGACTAAAATATATGACTAAATTGTATGGTTAAATTCATTTCTAAAAATACGTATAAATGAAAGGCTGCCTCTGTGGTCTAGTGGTCATGGTTTCTGGCTACAGATTCAGAGGTCCTGGGTTCAATTCCTGGCACTACCAGATTTTCTGAGAAGTACTGGGTCTGCAATGGGGCCCACTCAGCCTCGTGAGGATAACTGATGATCTACTTGAATGGAAAAGTAGTGTCTCCGGTCTAGAAAACTGAGATTAACAGCCATGGGAATTAGTGCACTGACCACGTGAAAGCCATGGATCTTTTTTTTTTTTAGTTTATGTATAAATGGATAAGTATATTCTAGTATAGACATATTACTTATTTCTACAATTGTTTTAGACTACCCCACCAAGTGTTGAAGAGTTACCAGTGATTCCCTTTCATGCTTATGCAGTTTTCATGTACAAATTGGCACGGAACACCTTACTCATTTTGTGAATAAATTAAGTTAATTCCCATTCTTACAAAAACAATTGTGTTTAAGGTTAAACTTTTCATGTTTGAAAGAAAGATAAGTTATGAGCCATCCAGTATAACTGGAAAATACCATCTTTTATTTATCTTATATAATTAAGATTATATTCAACATGGAAAATATAGTCAGAATTACTGGGTTTTTGGATTTTATCCATCATCTGGTATTACAGAAAATAAAAAACATGAAGTTTCGGAAAGAGATCCAATTTCCAAAACGTAGTGTTTTCTATTTTCTAGAATACTGGACGATGGAAAAAGCCAAAAAACCCAGTAATTGTGAGTGTTATACTCCACCGTCAGAACCCTTTACAATCTAGGAAATATGGTGCTCACGAAAGTATAATACACTACTCTAAATTAGGGTTCAAGATACTGATATTGTACATTCAGTTAACAGTACCTGTACTGGTCTTTCTTTTCAATAATGTATGAAGTAATCTGAGCACCTCCATCAGATTTAGGTGGCGCCCATTTTAGGTCAGCCTGGTGTCTGTTCCAGTCTTTAACATCTGGTTTGCCAGGTTTATCAGGTTCACCTGGAAAGTATTATTCTAGTTGTATAACAGCATGATATGCACATGGCAAGAGTCATGAAGGAAGTATTTCATTTACAATTTACTAATGAATTGAATATGCTCATGTTATAATATATAGGATTCAGGAAGTTCTGATTATCAAACCCAGCCAGAAAACTGGCTATCCTGCCTGAAGCTTCTCAACATTTTCCTCAGTCCCTAAACACAATTCTGGAATAACATCTTAAAATAGGTCATAACTAAGGCCTTTCTATTTATCTGACCTCATGAGTCAGTTATGATGGATTTTACATGATAGCAGTGACTATGAATTTTGTGATTTTATGGGTTGTAACACCATATAGTTTGGTATAAGTCCATCAATGTTTTGGAGGACAGCAGTGGACTTCTACTAATATACATGCAATATAACCCAGAAGATTATACAATACATGCTTCAGTTATTCTAAACAATGGCAAACTCTCTAAAGATTTACATCAGTCAACTTCAAAATCACTCTGAACAAATGGTCAAATTAATTTAAGATGCAATCAAATATACATGTGGAATAGGAAACTGAGCAGACAGAAATACATACTGCTGAGAAATATGCTCATGAAATATAAATAACGATCAAAAATTTTAAACTGAATTCTGATCTAATTTTGGCGGAACTGTTCCATAAGAATGAAAAAGACTATACAGTGGAAATCCAAGTTAGTGTTCCTCAATTTAATATTTTACTTTGTTTAACTTCAATGATAAAATGCCAATAATCTCAGTGTTAGATTATCTCTATTTAAGATTTTCTTCAATTTAGTGTTCAAATCCCAACAGAACTGACTCAAGCAGGAAATGAAACACTATGTTCTGATATCTCTAAGCTCATAAATTACATTGGGAGTAAGGAAGAATATACAAAATTATAATTGTGCCTGCATTTTTGTATGGGTATGAGACTTGGTTTCTGACATCAATGAAAGAACACAGACTGAGGGTGTTTGAGAACAGGATGCTTAGAAGAATATCTGGATCCAAGAGAGATGAAAATAAGAGGAGGCTTGAGAAAACAGCATAATGGGGAACTTCATAACTTGCACTCTTTGCCAAATATAATTAGAAAATCAATGATGAAATGGGTAGGGAATATTTAATGCATGGAACATAAGAAGAATGTGTACAGGATACTGGTGTGAAAGATAGAAGGGACTGGCCCACTAAGAAGATCTAGACATAGGTGGGAGTACAGACTTGATTCATCCAGCTCATGATATAGACAAGTGATGGGCCATTGTGGACATGTTAATGAACCTTCTGGCATTGTAAAAGCAAGGAATTCTTTGAAAATTTGGATATCAAGAAAGAGGTGTTACAGGTACTAGTTTGAGCTTACAGTATGGATTCTTAGCCAGTGTTGGAATGTCGGTTTCAAGTGGTTCTGATTCTCCTTCGGCATTCACAGCCTTTACACGGAACTGGTATTCCTTCCCTTCATTTAGTCCAGAGACCTGCAGCAAATAAATAAATGTACAGCAGACATCACCTAAAAAGATCACACTTAAAGTGGTTTCCTGCTTAAAAACTAACATTGTTGGGTCACAAAGTGAGCCATAAAAATAATGCATTTACATCCTGCTTAAAATATTCTTACATAAGAAGTTCTCTTGCCTAAGTACAGAAATTTTTAAAACATGCAGTAAACATTTTACCCATTTAATAAGTTAATGTCTGTTATACTGTATACATTACTTACTTACTTACTCGTGGAGCTGAGCCCTTCTGGAGGAGCTGCTAATTCTGCAGCTACTCAAGAATTTCCCAGCATTTTATAGAACCTGAAGTTCATTACCATGTTCACAAGAGCCCTCCACTGGTCCCTATCCTGAGCCACATCAATCCAATCAGTATCATCCCATACTATCTCTCTAAGATCCACCTACCTACGCCTTTGTCTTCCCAGTGGTCTCTTTCCTTCTGGCTTTCCCACCAATATCCTATATGCATTCCTCATCTCCCCCATTCATGCTACATGCCCTTCCCACCTCATCCTCCTTGACTTGCTCATTCTAATTATACTGTACAGATACAAAAAAAAAATAGAAACAAAGTAGATGGTCACACAGATCAAACATTTTGCAGTGCTTAGCAGTGCTCAATAGTTTTATAAATACCAGAATATGGGCTGAATCAGAGGCAACTTTCTGACCTCCACCTGGTTAGCTATTAAGGTGGTCCTTATGTACAAGGCTACCTCTGATGAACATGTATGTTGAATTTTGTTAACTCACATGAAAGTAAACTGACTTGTATATTATACATAGTTATATGGATTGTTGCAAAAAAACATAAAACATAAGGTCTTATCAGTTTATGAGAAACTGGAGTCATTAAGAAGGAATAATAATACAGGAACATAATACAGAAAAACGTGGAACTACTCAGCCTGGGGGAAGAAAGTTAACAACTTCTAAACATGAGAAGACAGTCAATGCTCCTAGAGTGGTTTAGGAAGAAACAGGCATTACTTATGCCAATACAAGGTCCAACATTGAGACAAAAGTCTAAATGAATAGCTTTAAAGCCAAACACTGAACTCAACAGCTTCAAAGGGATGGCTTGATTAATTCATAAAATGGGCAGGGATTTGCTATGGAATCACAAGCACAGATTCCAAAAGGGTAACTGAAGAGGAAGTAGGTGCATGGAAGATGGGAGTGCTAACATAAACATCTGAATAGAAGGATATATTTAACACAGATGAGTGGTGCTTGTTGTTATGCCTACTCCTAGATGAAATGTATGTTTTTACAGATGAAGTTGTCATGGGGACAAGAAGAGTAAATACAGTATACGAATGGATCTGGAAATATGCCACTGCTGATAAATAGAAAGCCAGAGAAGCCAAAATGCTACAAGCATGTGAAATTCCTTCTATATTATTATTATTATTATAGGGGGTGGGTTTCTCCATGCACCAGGACCAGTGGTCTATTGTACGTCCCCCTGTGATATTCTACCAGTCTCTGTACCCTACCGATACTGGTGCGTGCCATCAGTCCCGACTCAGCCAGCAAGTTCGGCCTCTACTGGCTCAGCGGTATCTAGATGCTTCCCCCATCTACCAGAGGCGTTAGAGACTATTGTTGGGCGGGAAATGTCCTTAATAATTTGGCTCAGAGGCCTTCTTGGGGCATGAGGTTCTTTTACGTGCCATAAAGCTATGACACAGGACCCACGGCTTAAAGTCCCTCCCGGAGGACTTGTTCCCTGAATTTTTCCGCCCTTAAAAATTCCACGACCTCCGCCGGGTTTGAACCTGCGTACCTTGAGTCATGAGGTGGGAACGTTACCCCTAGACTGCGGAGGCCGCTTTCTTTCTATATACTCACAGTTACAAGAGTAATAAGGCAAAATAGATCACTGAGGTCGCAGTGCAAGGGCCAAGAAGGCCCACCCCTTATACATTCATTCATATACAAGTGTAATTCATGGATTCTTGGAGATCCTAATATGTTTGGAGGGGAAAATGGCACCAAATGCCGCAAATACTGTCATTTGTAGGCCAGTGTAAATTTCTACTTCCTTAGTGCATTTCCTGATGTGACAAGGGGCAAGTCCAGACCGGCTCTGGGGCAAACATAGCCTTCTACAGAGTGGGTATTTGGAGCTGTTTCCTGGGAGTGACACTGCAGAGGAGTGAAGCTGATCATTCACCTCCAACTAGTGCTGAGATTAAGAATGGTGGAACCATAACTCCACTTACCCACACATCTTCAAGGTATGCCAATAATTAATTAACCCCATGGATAGCTTTACATCCTTACCTCTTGTTTGAAAGATAAGCAAAACAAATGATGCTAAATATATTCTTCAAGACAAAATAATATTTCAGAACAATCAAGCCTGTGTATTACTGTATATTTATCCCTTTGCTAAGTGTAAAAATATAGTGTTTTGGTACCTCTTCATTATACAAAATATCTGGTGTGATATGGGCCATAGGGGAGCTAGGATTTGATAAAATGCTGAAAAATATTAAGAAGAAAATTTGCTGCAAACCTCAACCTCAAGTATTCAATTTATTTTTTCTAGAAGGAACTGTTATGGCACTAAAGTATTTATATATCAATAATAAAATATTACAACGATGCTGCCAAGGTGATATAAAGACAAAAGGGAGAAAGGATATGAGGAAGTGGTAGTGGAGAGCCACGCAGAACGTGAAACAGGGATGGTGAATGGAAGCATTTTTTTAATGTACTTGTAAAGAAAAAAACATTGCTACTGTAGCAAAATGTTGCAAGTCCAGAAAACCACGTATGCATATGGAGCCCCACAGATGTTTGTGTGTTCACTGCAGTTAAGTACTGAAACTGGTATCCATATTATTGCTCACACATGTGAATGTGGGTCCTAAGCCAGTGTGCAAACATCAAAACGAAATGCTGCTGGGATAATAGGTGTGAGTGCAGCATGCATATTGCCCTGAAGTGCAGTAATGTTTCACTTACAGTTACTGTGTATCAATATGTGACATGTTAGACAATGGTCGCAAAGCAGGAAAACCACAATGATAAGCAAGTGGCATTAGTACACTGTACCTACAGTCAACTGCAGCAAGTGGTCAGTTTCTTGTGTATGTGCTACAGTTATAAAGCATGACTTTGTTACTTGTTGAGTGGACAATCAATGGTATGCACAAACCATATGAGAAAGCCAAAATGATTCTCCTCCATGCACCAGGTATAAGTCAATATGTGACAGCAGGTGAGTATCACTGGCACCAATCAGAGGAACCATGAATTTCTCATAACATGATTTGTGTCTTTATGCCCATTTCATGCAGGCTGGGAATGTGCAAGACAGATCACAGACAGGATGCCTGTCACAGAAAAATTAATATGTAAGATTTGAGGTTTTCACAGCAGTGACTATGAAGAAAGCAGTCTTCTGGGATGTGGCACCATGTAGATGTGGTGTTAACCGATGTTTCGGAGGAACGTATCACCTCCATCTTTGGGGTAGAAGGAAAAATAAGAAATCCACATGCGAACAGCCCGTGAGAACCGGTACAAGCTTTCTTCAAACATTAGTATGTTACGTACGTCTGCTTCTGGTGTTTTGC